AAGATGATATGAGCGGAAGCTAGAGGTGGCATCTCCCAGTCGTCCCACGCCATGCGCTAGATGGAGGGCAATTCATTTGGATCACAAAGGAGGATGTAGCGCCCCTTTCCTCCCCAATAGTCTACATGTAGCGTTCGAGGAGGATGGAGGGGCGGAAAGGTGGATGCCAAAATGTCGCCTCGACATGCCCCTCAGTGGGGGCGCGGCCACTAAGTCAAGCCATCGTGTGTCTGGAGTGTTGCATTGCAATTCTTACCCCAGATTCACTTGTTCTCGGTTGTTATATGGGGTCTATATCTTGTTTCCTTTTCCTTTTTCACTTCTTTTTCAAATTTGCCTGATATTTGATGCTTTACCAAGGTACCCATAGTGTCCAGCACCAGCAGCGGGCTCAAATAGGACAGGGAGGAAGCACAGAGAGGGGAGGGGAGGAATAAGCAGAGCCGAGAGGAACAGAACCTCGGAAATGAGGCATAGATTCCTGTTGGCCACGGAAAATGGAAGTGGCGTGGGTAAAATCATGAAGAGAGACTGGTGTAAAAAACGGACTACGAAGAACAGTCTGGCCCTCCCCTCTGTTTCAAAAGAAGAAGAAAAATATTAAAGGTATGGGGTAGGAGACGGAGCTCGTTCCTCGAAGGCTGCTTGTGCCCACCCAAAAAAAAAAAAAAAAAAAAGAAGGCTTTTGAAGCCAAAGAAGAACAAGCCAACAGGGGACAGCGGGCTGAAGTGGGAGGCTCTCAACGGGTGGGGTGGTATTCGTGATGGTGGGCGGCAAGCCCAGGCGTGGATGGCTTGCGTTTCGAAGGGGATGATTAAAAGAAATGTGGGCGTGGGCGTGGGTTTTGGCGTGGGCATGGGCGTGGGAGCGGGTGTGGTGTGGATGGAGATGTGCTCGGCATCATCTCTCGACAGTTGATTTTCCTATGAAGATAAGGCTGCTTCCGCTCAGCAAAAGCGCCCCCTTGTCTGTCTACGGTCTTTGGAGGAATCCGTGGACGGGAAGGATCGTCGAAAGGCTGGGGCGGCATCGATGGCGCCTCATTCTGTCTCCTTCACGAAAGCAGTCAGGAAACGGTCCCTTTTGAGTGGGCCAGCAATTCGCCCATCCCCCTGAGCGTTCAATTCTTTGTCACCGTCCCCAAGGCTTCACGCCGAGGAAATGTTTGTCCTCTTGTCCATAATACAGGAAACCCCGTCTTAGGAGCATCGCGTTCGCAAGGTGAGGGATTATTATCGAACCCGGGGCGTCGATGAGGCAAATAAAGGAAAGGCACTCCGCTTTCAGCATGGCTGAGGGTGTCTTGTGAATCATCCATCGACGGCTCGATCGCGACATGGTACACCGATACATCAGATTATTGGCACGCGCATACGACTTTGCACATCGATTCTGTGATGCCACCGATTGATGCTGGTGCTGGAAATGTACCATCAGAGGAAAAACAAAAATAAAGACAGGAAAAACAGAAGACGGTCCTAGTGTTCGGCTTCAGGTCGACGCAGTGACCCTAGCAGATCATTTGCAGGGGCCAGTCATTGGATGAGAATCCTAGCCCAAGAACGGTGGATGAATGGGACGCTATCCCGGATGCGGAATTACACACCTTGATCCTTTCGAAATTCTCGGAAGGGTGGGACCACAAGCTGATCTCCCGCGCTGGATCGAGCCGACCTTGGAAAAAGAGTTCGACTTTTGGCTTTATCATCGCACCTGCCGCACCGATATTTTTTCCCGTCCTCTGTTGGCATTCATTCATGTGGGACTCGTTGATACCCCCTTCTAGCCATTCTGTATTTTCCCGGCTTGATAGGTGCGATCAAGAGGAGAAGGGAGGAAGAAAAGGAGGCAAGGCATCGGGGACGCATTGGAGCCACCGCATTGACTCTCTTCACGGCCCGTGAAGTACCGATAGCTCGAGTTTATTCCAGCTCGCCTTTCGCGACCAAGGTACGAAGACCCCGCACTGTGTACGCGACTCCCCTGCCTCCGCTGGGTACAATGGAGCAGGCAAGGCAAGCACCATCAGTGGACATTGTTATCCCCTATTCCTCGTAAATAGTTCGTCATCCTCTCCTATAGCACCGAAGCAAGACAAATGGTGTCAAGAACCCTGGCTGCCAGGTGTATGGCTCAGCTGCAGCCCAACGAAAAGGGCACGCTGGCCTGTCAGTCATTATTAGAGCTCATGGTGGACGCTGGATCGCGGTGGATCTTCAAGGCAAGCATGGATGCCAAAGCCTGGTCAGTCCCGAGGACGGTTCCCTTCTTTTGGTAAAGCCTTCAGCAGCAAAGGCTAGACTCCCCCTTGTAAAATCGTGCCACCCACGGCAGGTTTTCCACCGTCACCAAAGGGTTCGGAAGGTCTTCCGCTTGCATGGACATGGGCCCTCCATGTCCGTCGCGAATCGCGGCCAATAGGGCCAGAAGCATGCTAATACCAAAGTCTAGTGTAGGCAATGAAGGGCAATCATACCGTTACTAGCTCGATGTAAAGACCGTCAAACTCTGCAAGCGTGGCTAGAACTTTAGAAACAGAAGAGTTAGACACACTTTTGACTTGCACCGGCTTGTCCCCACCAATCTTTGATCTCCCGGATGATGCGCAAGATTCTTCCCGCATGATTAATGTTCTACGGAAAAGGAGCACAGAGCCTCCGAGTCTTTGCTTGCACAGCGGGTGGGCCCACCAACGTGGCCACGTCCCTCCACTGCGTGGAGGGCACGAGGTGTCTGGCTTGTCTCTCCCTCAAAGTCAAAGATTGAGCCTACTGAAGCTCGTGTCGAACAAGAAGCAGAGGTCAAGTTGTTTATCAATTGCAGTGATCGCTGCAGCGAGTGCGCGAGATATTTGTTGGACCCAAGATACAAGGGAAAAAAAACACCCGTATTATCAAAGAAAGAATCCCCACGAAGCAACTAGCGCAGAAGTAGCCGGGGCTGCAGGGACGGCCACGGATGGCTAGGGAGCCTGTCCAAAGCTGAAGTGGTGCAGATCGAGGGCGAACGTCAGCCAAGATCCATCAATGATAGACGCACTGAAAATCGTGGACGGTCGCCGTAAACCCCACAGGAGCCCCTCGAAAGAATGTGTTTTGCCCACCTCAAAAGTTACCAGGGCCTTTTTATCCATCGACGGAATGTTCTTTTTTTTTTTTTTTTTTTCTTCTTCCTTCTTCTTTTTCTTTACCTTATAATCACCACCATCAATTGGTATGGTTTCCCCGAAGCAAGCTTCACAAAAGCGAGAGCGATTGAACTAGCCCGGCGTTTAGCTGTGACACTGATACCACACGTCACTTCAGAATATGCAGCAGCAAACGCTGCGGGGCTACTTGTTGGGTTTTGCCAATTGTTCCTTCAAAGAAAGGCTTGGGGCAAGGCGGGAAGGGAAGGACATTCGCAAAAGAGTGCAAATAACCAATGGTATTATTGTTCCCCATGACTTGATTGAATGCATCAAGCACACCCTTCCCTTCTCCTGGAGTTGCATCTCTTACGAGAAGTACGTTGGTGGGACGATTTTGGCCGCTTGCAAAGACCTGAGGTGGTAAGAGGGTCTGTTTTTGAAGAATGTACATCATGGACTGAGAGTTTCCAAGGAATGCTCCTTTTTGTCACGAGGCAGGCAAGCTGAGAGACAGAGGGTGGGGAAAGAGGAGACTCGACCCCCTTCCCCAAAGAAACTTCATTCCCCATACAAGACGTCTCTGTCAATGTGGAACCGGTCGTCTGCCACGAGAGCCCACCTAGTCGCCACTAACTAGTTTCGAGCCCGGCCCAGTGCGGGTGGGCTGCGAGGCTGCCATGAACGTGAAAGCTTTGGGGCCTCAGACCCTGGTGTTCCGCACTTCATGGGTCTTGGGGTGATGGGAAGCAACACTAGCCAAGCACACGATGGACTTTAGACGGCACCACTCTTAATACCAATAGTACGAGGGATGTCGATTCTATGCCATTTCACAAGCGCAGCCGAATCCCGAGTCAGAGCCTGGGCAAGAGACGTCACCAATCTAATACACGGGAGCGGGAATAAAAAGAAAGAAGAAAAAAGGGGGAGGAATCGTCAACAATAAACGAGACCGCTTCGCACTACATTTCGGCAAACTAAGAGAGCTGGTATTGGCCCTACTAGTTGGGGGAGGACCAGACCTCCATGCACTTCCATCTCCCAAAACCCCTGGCATTCCCAGCACCGGGGAGCGCAGGCGAGAATGAGGCGTTTTGACAAGGTCCAGCCCAACCCGCTCGGAATTGAACACTGGCCTCCTCTTGTCCTGTACCCTCCTAGGAATGGGATCAATTGATGTGCTTGGTGCGGTGCCCTTGCCCCGTCCGGTTGTACATCAATTGCTACCCACCATCACACTTGAGATTATTTATTCCTTAGTTTGTTAGTAGCTGTTCTAGCAACCTTTTGACATCCCGTTCAGCTAGTCAAGTACTTTGAATGCTCCAACATTGGACATCGACCTCTGAACGCAAGACTTCAATCATCGGCTGACAAGAAACCAGGCTGTGAGGAGGAGATAGGGGTTTCCCCTCTCTCTCTTTCCTGGCGAACGTGAGCCTGCAAATTGCTTGCGATTTACCTCTACCAATACTAATGTACCATTCTTATTGCGAATATTCAGCTCGGCCACCCCTCGAACTATTTTCACCTTTGTCCTTTGATTTTCACTCTCCTTTTTTCCTTTTTTTTTTCTTTTTCCCTCTCGCACACTCTCGAGCCCCCACTGTAATGACGAAATTGTTGGTACTTTCTGGCATTGTCACTGTCCTCAGCACTGTTGAGTTTGGGGAGCTGGAGACTACCGGATGAGGTACTCACATGGAAGACGCTAGTGCTGTATTATCACAAAGCTTCACCCATGCGACCCCGGTCTGCCCACACGCGTTATTCATTCCTGTTCCCTCCGCACACCCTCCCCCTTACCCTTGCCCTGTACCCCTGGGGGTTTGTCATTAAACTCAAAGCCACTTCGCAGCCCATCCCGACATGGAGCCCTCAGTGACAAGGGTGCACCCTGGTTCGACCGTCGCCGACTCTCAGCCCCTCCGGTCCACGAGCCCTCCAATCCAGTCCCGGAAAAGTCGGTACATTGTTTGGGGGTACACTACGCTGTACTATGGGACGCACTACTGGATTGTAGTCGGACAAAATCGACTGCATCACAGTCATCATCCCTATCTCGTCTTGGGAAGGTACTTGGAGCGAGAGGTGTACGACATGCCTCCCTTCTCCAGTGGAATCTCCAGTCGACAGGTACTGCTGCTAGCTCACCGTTGTGTGCTTTTCACTCACCACCAGGGCTTCTCATCCCCCTCCCTTACCGGAACCCCTAGAGTCGCTCTGAGACAAGGCCCCTTGGGCGTGGGAGGGAGCTATCCAGCTGCGTGCCGCGCAGTTTATTGGCCAAGGGATGGCCTGCGATTTCATCTGTTTTTGGTGGGAATTTGGGGCCCTAATGGCTTTGTGCTGGCCTGGCTGGCAAGGAACTGGGCAGTACCTCCTCCACTCTCACCCACTTTCGTACTTCTGAGGAGGGAAGATGGTCACTAGTTACCATCAGCTTTTGCGATACTTCTGACTGGGCCAGAGTAGTCCCTGCTCCAGCCTCTGGTACAGGCGGAACGTCACACACCCTGTGGACCAGACCCTTGGAACCCCCATTGCCGCCTTGGTGCCATCCACTATATGTACAATCTATATCCACATTCTCCATACTTCATACATGTGCACTCCTTCTCTCCTCTCCTCAACACAAACCTCTTCTTATATACCCTCAGCGCCTTTCGATCTCGATCTCCCGGTCGTGACGCCCTCACTCCTTCTAGGCCACCTCCCCCATCCCGACGAAACTATCTATCGCTCAGTTAGAAGAGCTTGTTAAGGTGTCAAAGGACTTGTGCCTAGCCTACTGTTGCTCGACAGCTTCTCCTACTCCCAAGCCGAGCCTGCGCCTTCCCCTCCAAACCCCACCTCTCAAAACGATAGTACGAATCAGCTCCTCATCATCGTGATTGACGAGGCGTTCCTTTTGGGTCTTGACTCTAGGTCAGCCTACGCTCTTTCGAATCTGGGTAACCGCGCGGTTTGTGGGCGTCGAGGTTATCCCTCAGCGAGGGACAACGAATCGCAAGCCGGGTTTCAAGAAGAGCCAAGATGTCAGCGACCATGGACCCGACGAGCTTCTCATCCCGCCGGCAGGCAACTACGAGCCTTCCTCAGTTCCATCTCCCCGCGCCGGGAGAGATTCCCAGTATGCCAAAACCCTCTTCTGCAGCATTAGAGCTCCCCCTCTTTCCCGCACCCTCATCTCCCCAGCAGCATTCTGACGCCAGTAATAGGAGTGACGAGCGATGGCCTAAGTCCCCTCTCCAGCGCCAACACCGGGAGCTCTCAGGGCTCCGGCGCGGCCGGCGGGCTCGCTGGATATTACGGAAACCATGCCCACGGCTCCTGGCCCACGCCGGGAGTGGCAACAGCTCCTACACGTTTGGTTCGACAAATCAGCAGGGCCAGTCACTAACGCAGTCGGCGTACGGGAATAGGGGGTCTACGGACATTCGCATTACGGCCCACGACATCCCCAGTCCCCACCCAACGCGAACGACGCTCTCCCCCTCCGACCTACGACCAAACTCACCACCAGTCGTATCAGTCCCAGCTGCCTAGTGTATCTTCTGCTGCGAGCGGAAGCAGCCTCGCAGCAGGTGGTGGTTTGGGCATCAGCCAAGGGGCAGGCGGGTCAGGACACGGGAGCCATGGAGCCACGCCTGGCACCGGTCCCACCGGCCCTCCCCGTCGAGTCTTGCTTCCAGTTTGCCCTCTCAGGCACCCCCACCGCAGAGCGCCATCCTAAACTCGCAAAGTTCAGCGAGCCATCAACAGCCTCCCTCTACCTCGCCCACCCCAGCTGATCCTTACTCACGAACATCACCGAACCAGGGCTACTACGCACCAGTTTCGAGCTCGCACGCGCCCAATTTTCACCCTTCGTATGCCGCTCCCCCAGAACCCATCCAATTCACATGCTCCCCCAGCCTCGAGCTCGGCGCCTCGACCTCTGACCTCTATGGTCACACCGACAGGCATGGCGCCCCCTCAACCGTATCGAGGGTATTCGCAATATCCCCACATGCCGCACCATATGGCCGGACCCATCATGTCGAACATCAACAACCCCGGTGGCCAAATGTCTTTGGTACCTGGGGGTCGGTGTGCATCAAGGCTACCAAATGACCCACCACCGTATGTACGGGCAAGGGAACCATCAAACACACCAGGAGCGGCCCTTTAGATGTGACCAGTGCACTCAGTCTTTTAACCGCAACCACGATCTCAAGCGTCACAAGAGGATTCACCTGGCAGTCAAGCCGTTCCCCTGCACCTCATGCGACAAGTCTTTTTCAAGGAAAGACGCTCTCAAGGTAAGCAAACTACTACCCTTGTGTTCTTTTTAAGCTCGAGGAAAACATAGGTCCATCCACGTAGTCAAGCTCTCGTGCATTATTAGTCGCTAACAATCTGATTTGTTTCTGGTATATAGAGGCACCGATTGGTTAAAGGCTGCGATACCGATTCTGGGATGCGGGGCGCGAATAAACCGTCAAGCCAAGACGGGACCGATCCGACTACCGGAAGGCCGCGAAGCAACGATTCGAACATCGACCCGAAGCTCGAGAGCCCACGAGATATGGGGATCCGGCGATAGGTCACGATGGAGGGTCTAGCAAGTCACGCTTAAAGTCAAAGACGATGTGGCATCTCTTTTGGCCGTCTTGATGTTGGGCTGTTTCCGGACGAAGATCCTAGCCTTGACTATCGCATCGGGGGTCACTCCTCCCCCACGTATTCTCCTTTTATTTCTATCTTCTTGTCTTTTTTATTATTTCATTTTCATCAGCATCTTTTAACTCTACTTTTTCGGAACATCTTCAAGGGGTTTGGGACTTCCAAGGCATGGAACGGGAAGGAAACGGGTTTTTGGGACTCTGGACACGGCGACGGAAAAGACTGGATGGTTACGGAATACCAACTCCGGCGTCTACGGGAATCTTATGTGAAGGAATAAAAGCCACGGGGCATTGTTGCTCGTATATCGGTTTATTTGCTCGGAACTTTTCTTGATTTCTTTTTGAACTTTTTCTTCTTCACCCTCTAGCCTACTTCATTCTTTTGTCCTTCCTCGATCTCACTTTTTCTTTTACACCTATGACTATTTATTACCTCGAGTTCTTATTCTGCTTTCCGCTTCCTTCTCTCTTAGAGGCATGGCTCGCATCGACCCTTTTGCTTTTCTGTTCTTTCGCCTCCCCTTTCTTTCTGTCTGTTGTGCATGATTGGGCGGGTCAAATGGAGGGTGACGGACACTGGACTTGGAGTTTCTTTTTCTTTTCTTGATTAATATTGATTGCCGCACGGTTTTCTGCATTATAGTGAGATCTCGGGCGCTTCCTTGCGCCCCCTTGCGCCCCCGTGGGAAGGCCCGGCTCCAGCTTTACTCTACAGACTGGCTAAGCTGGACGAAGCTTCGGGCAGCACCATGACGGGAGGAGATACTTGTTTGGCATGTTCCATTATCTTGCGCCATTACGTGGGAGGCGAAAGAGGGTTGTGCTAGGCTACCCCGAATCCAAGAGACCCCGGCGGGTGTTGGTCCCCCTTTCGAAGCTAGCAAAGTCTAAGTCTGATCCGAAGGAACTCAAAGACAGTGAAACAAGTATCGTTGATACTTGCACCCTCCTCCACACATGGAGGGGATTGTTTTGCCGCCATGCCCACTTGGAAACCACGTGTTACCAAGGGAGAAGGGGAAGAGGACAAGAAGCAAAGTATAGCCTGTGACAAGCCAGTACGCGATGGAGAGGAAGAGGAAGAGGGGGTCCAGCTGAGAGTGCCTCGGGACGAACGGGCGTTTTTGCAAGAGAGGCCGGACTGTTGGATTCGGTGTAAACCAGTGGCAAGATTATGCCCGGGAATGCTTCTTGTTTGATTCTTTTGCCTTCTTCTGAGGGAAAGCCGAGGAAGTGGTGAGAGTAAAACCTCTTCGTCGCTAGGTTTGAACCCTCTCCAAGGCTTTCTCAACAGGGGTGAAACCGTCTCTTGCTATTTCTGCACCCAGTACAATCAATCTTTCTTCGATCAGCCTCTTTCACCGGCTAACGACGAGTTGTTTTGGATGCTCTAATCTTGGAGCATTCTATTTCGGTTTTCTTTTCTTCTTTCCCTTTTCCTCTCTCTCTCTTTTTTTTTTTTTCTGTTTTGCGTAGCTTGTCTCGGCCATATTGAGACAAGAATCATGGGAAACGCCACCCCTTCAGCGGGACAAGTGGAAGCCAAGTGCTGGGCGGGTAGACCGACGGACTACATTTCGGAGACTCGGTGGATAGTCTAGCTTTTAGGGAAATGTGTCCTCCATCTTGTCCACTTTGCCTTCGTTTCCTTTCTTTTGCCTCCTCTCTCTCCGTGCGTGAAGCTTCATTTTCCCATTGGGGTGGGCGTAAAGAACGTTAAATGGAACTGAGGCATGTTTGATGAATGAAGGGTTGAAACATTCCCCTTCACATTCCTCATCCCTAAAATGACACTGGGAGGGCTGACAGCAAGATAGCCTTTTGGCAGAGAGGGTGTGATGGCATTGATGTCGACGGCCAACTACGGGCTCACCGGATAGACCGACTTCACGGACTACGCTCGGGTGAGCTCGCCTCCTTTCTTCTTTCTTTTTTTTTTTTTTGTGGGGGAGAGGAGGTGTGGTCCAACTTGGAACCGCGGTTGGGGGCGAAGGGAAAAGGAAACCCAAAAGTCGGGAGAACAGGAGGTGTAGACGGTCCACTGTATGACAACCGAATATCACCGAAGCGTGAATAAATCCAATAGAGTGGTCCCTCCTTCCAGCTGTGCCTCTGTGATAAAAGCCCCGACCTGGTTTGTCTTTGTGGGATTAGGAGGCCCTTTCTTCGTCCCCCATTCAACCACCAAAACCCCCGGGTTGGCCATGGGTTAGGCTATCCGAGGCGTGTGCTTTAGAGTGGGTTTTGGGCGAAGACAAGTGCGAGAGACCGCCTCACCGGCGAAGCTTGGAAAGAGGGTGGTCTCAACTCAACGAGGGGTTTATTGGAGAGTCGCCCAAGAAGAAAAGCCGGATCTGCATGCAGTGAACGCCCTCTTTGGCAAGTGGCTGCCTGGGCCAGCCTCAGCTTGCCCTAGCGCCTGCTTGGACTTGTAAGACACCCGCGAGGCGGACGGTACAATACACGCCCCCGCGCCCCCGGTACCTTCCCAGTGCTTTATTACTTGTATGTTCTTGTCCCCTTTTCTGCCGATCACCCAAGGGGAAGGAGAGGGTGGACGCACTGCCAAGTGATTGGAGAAATAGACCGAGGGTAGAGACAGGCGCCATGGCCGGCTGTGGCTGTCTCCTTCCTCCTGTCCCCCAGAAAAGCAATTCGGGGAACCTTATTGAAGGTAGAAAGGGGAAGGGGTGATGTTGTCCCTCGGTATGACTCTTGGCTCTTGGCCTTTCCTCTCGGTGGGGTTTTACGCTTCACGTCTCTCCGCAATCCCAAGGGAACGGATCATGTTGAACAAGGCCGAGATGACAATCGCTGTTCCGTATACGGACCTATCTATCTACTGCCCTCGTAAGTGAGACTCTCGAGAGGGCACCGAGCCATGCTTGTAGCGTTGAGGCCGGGAGTCCTACAAAAAGGGGAATGGCTCGGCGTTTTCACTCCTTTTCCACGGTTGCCATGCGCACTTTCCTTCCTAAGCGACGCATTAGGAAGGGCCAACCTGCCCACGACTCATCGATTGTGGAACGTGGCCAGGAGTTCATCGTACTACGAACGAAATAAAGCCCGTTTCCCACAATCCCCGAGATACGCCCCTTCCCCTGCCCCGGAGAACGATCTGCAAGTAAATCGACCCTGCTTCGGGGTCATCTTCCGTCACGGGTGTCCAAGGTATTGATCAATCATGACGGGGAAGTGATAGGCCGTTGGCTTCCAGAGAGCCTGAAGCACAAATATGATGTCCAAGCAATGAAGGTGATTAAGGATCAATGATCCAGCCCCTCCCCCGGCCCTCCCCGCCCGAAAAATAAAATAAAAAGTAAATAAAAGTTTCTAGTCAGTCGTTCTTCCCAACGGGTTTAGAAAATAAAAGTTGGGGATTGCATCGATGATGTGTCCGATTTGATAGATGGATCCATCCCATCCATTCCATCCATCATGGATGTCCACTCTTACACCGGATGGGTCCAACAATTTAAGGTGTAGCGCTGTGTAGGCCAATTACTTCGTGCTCCCTTTGGTATATTATTTGGGGCAGGCACAAGAAGAGGTGGGCCTTCCCTCAGCGCTGATCCAATTAAAAACTAGGTAGCCGTCGAAAAGGGTAATAATATCCAACTGGAGAGCGTTGGGCTGAAGCCAGCTCAGCCCTGGGGCCCTCCCACTACGCGCAACTGAAGAATCATGAGAGAAAAGAAGAAGCAAAAGAAATAATTTTTGTCTGGCAAAATCGGCACTGGCAAGGAGAAGCTCTTTTCCCACCTCCCCGCAACGCTTTTGCTATCTTGTTGAACAAACATCACGACCATGAAAAACATATATTTAAATACTTGTCCAAGTAGCAATTATGCCTGACTCGCTGCTTACAAGTTCTTAGCCGCTTGAGCGCGGCGATTCCAAATCCACCTCTTCAGCCGAAGCTACGTGTAGGCTTTGGGGCAAAAACGAGATCCCCGTACAAGTTGAGTCTACAAGTACGAGCGCGACCTCAAAAACTGATGACCGTTGTTACAGGGCTCGACCGTCGGACGCCCACCCACACCTGAGCATCCATGGCTGATCGTCCCGTGGCTTGCCTGCACCATGTGCAGAATCAAGGAGACGAGCGGTCCTCCTAAATATTGGTGTGAGCTAATAATGATACCACAGAACCTTGATCCCCTGATCTGGATTTTATCCTTTCCTCGCTCAAGCCCCGGACTAGTTGGGCATTGGGTTTGATGGTTCAAGTCGCAGCATCGTTCAGGTCGATACAAGTAGAGGGATATGGAGCGTTTGGTCGGCGCCTTCCCGGGTTGTGCAGGCGCCACCACCAAGATAACGTGCAGACGGTAATGGAGGGGTCGTTGTGCTTAAATTGAACGCCATTGACGAAAATGGCATAATTACTCAGTAGAGAGGGCCAAGGGCGCCAGGGAGGGGTCGGCGCCTGGGCCCTTGACTTGCCCGAGAAAAAGAGGGACCTGCTCCACCAGCGAAGGACACGATTGCAATTGAAATTGCCATCCAATATATTCCTGCAAGGCACTTGCCCACCTCGTCCAACCCGTGGTCCAGGCGAGACCAGGAACCTGGTTCGACGAGAGCGGCCCACCTGACAAGGGAGAATCGAGGGATAAATGAAGGGAGGAAACCCTTTCATCAGTTCTCTCACCCCAGGCCGTCCCAGATAGCGTCGTACCGCCCAAGCCGCCTTGCCGGGTTTGTCGGTAGCCCTGTCTGCACGCCTAGGCCTAGCGCCCCCTCGGAATGGAGCGACGGTGCGGGCTGGGAGGCGTTTCCGGATGTAACTTGAGCTTGGTGGACCCTTTGACCACTTACGCTCGACAAGCTGCCAAGCACTGTCAACCATTGTCAAGCACACTAGCCTCCAAAGAGGAGTAATTGGGGATGGCCTGGGCTTCACAAGCCGGGACTCTGCCCCTCGCCAGAGAGACAGCACACAAAGATTGTTGACCTGTATCGGATAGGCGATCTCAAAGGAGCGCCAGTTGTTATTATCTTGAACGACATGTTTTGACTGGTGTCCGCTAGGCTTGTGAAGGAGGCACTGGTGTCCCGAGTCGGTTATCTCTGCAGTTCTCCAACAAGCGGAGTGGGCCTGGGTTCGAAGACCCAGATACCTGTCGATGACTTGAACCCAGTGTTTCACCCCATCGTGTCGAGAAGCAAGTCATCGTACCGAGGCCAATAACGCCTCTCAAGACAATGGGGGAGTGGAATAAGAGGAGTTACCCACCCAGGGGTAAATTGGAAGAAAAAGCAACTTGATAAGAGAGAAGGAGGGGACGCAGGACTGTCAACGCGCAACGTTTCTCTGCCATCCCAAGGTAACGATTCACTCACCACTCTCATACTTGTCGATGACGGCGATCCAGCATAGGGCAGGGCATGATCTTGAGGTTGCGGTTGCCACAGGGCTCCGTTTAGTGTTCCTTCGATAGGCTGGCCAGCCCATGCCGCCCCAAAACTAGCCCACGCCCAGCCTCGGTACTCAGCTAGGAAACTACTTGGATCGTCTATGAGAATGGGCTAAGATGCCAAAATGATTATCTTTCTATTTTTCTTACCTAGAATCACATTGCTACCCTCATCTTCATTAATTAATGGAAGAAAGAGGCTACACAAGGGGTCAGGTTGCATTTTCAAGGGCTAACCAGGATTGTTCAGCTGCTGTCGATCAGTATCTGGCGCGTCGACCCTGACAAGGCAAAGAGGGTCTCTCATCAGTTAGAGCCCCGGTTGAACAACGGCGGAGTGTAGTCCTCCACTTGAAAGCACAAGACTCGGAGGCCAAGGCCGGGGATGGCGATCTTCACTCGTTTCTCCCCGACACGATCTCGTACCCATCATCTTAAGGCACAGACTCGCCTTTGACTGGAAGGCAGACGCCCTATGTAGTTCGGATCAAGCTAGCCTGACAACTCCGCGGCTTGTATCAGCATCGGGATTGTTGTTGATTTGCCTCTGCATCCGACGAAGGGGGTTGGATGATGCATAGTACCCCCTCGAGAAAGTATCCCGTTGGATTCTCTATAAGTGGATACAGGAGTAGACGGGATAATCGCCCGAACAAAACGGATGGTTTCTTCCGGCTCTGGGAATGGGGCCGGACAACCGCCAGTATCGATTCCCGATTCTGAACGTTACCTCTTGAGTCTACGGGGAGATAGCCAAAACACTACAGGTGATAAATAGGTGGGTGGGGGCCCCGTTTCTAATTCTGCAAAATATCACCAGAGGGGAATGCTCATCTGGTCGGTTTTGTATGAGTTCCCATACGGCGTGTTCGCTATTGCTACGGAAGTTCTCAATCGCTGCGTTGCCGGTGCCTCTTATTAATCAACCTGCCTACTTTAGGGAACACATGAGATAGAAAACGAGACCTTTTAGCTGCATGTATCAAGAATGAGAGTGCAGAATAGCGTCTCCTTACTACATGCTGTCGGCGGACCATGAAACCAATTGACTAGCCATTGCGGGTAGTTTTCTCTCAACTGTCTCGCCGGGGTCCTCAGATCGTTTAGTACGAGCAACTTTCCCTAGATCCGCACATCTTTTCAACACATCCAGGCGCAGGCCACGTCCATGGAGATAAAAGCAACTGAAAAACGATTGGTGCTGAAGGACAGGAGAGACCGACATATTCTACCGTGGTTCCTGGCTCTTTGCCCACCCCTAAGGTAAAATAAGTATAAAAATAAAACAAAGGAGAAAGCAACAAGCGGTAAACATTTTTGAAGTGAATGGGCGGTAGGCTTGCCCGGTATTTGCGTGACCAAGCACAAGCACACGCACGAGGTCCGACACCAGCGAGGTATTGCAGTCATGATATGAGAGAGCTAGGGCCAAACCCGCATTCCTCTCTCCGGAGAGGATCAAAAGAAAGGCAGGCTACATAAAAGGGGAGAAAAAGATGGAAAATAGAATAAGAATCAAGAAAAGCAAAGCTCGGGGGTAGAAGAGAGAAACGCTGCCATCATCTGTAGCGGTATTCATGAGCATGCCCGCATCTGAAATCCAGTGCCTCAAGCCAGATGATAATCACTAGGAAAAAGACCCAACCTGGCTTTTTCTTTCCCTCCCCGCCCCCACGGCTTGAGAATATTAGCTAGAGTTTTGGTCTTACTGATTATCGGGTGGTTGGCGCAAAACAGAAGGGTAGGTCTGTCCCTGCCCATCCCGCCCTACTATCCAGCTACTTCCGAGAAACGAGCTCGACTCGACTGACGTATGCCCTTGGAGGAGGAAGTAAGTAGGGCCTGCGTATCATCTAACTATTTAGCGCTGATGGGAGAGTGTTATTATAGGAACCTTCAACAGAAGAGGCAGCCAGCCTAAAACAGCTCATGGGTGCCGAGCAGGAAACAGCCCTAGAGAGAGGTATTCAATAGTCGGCACCACAATCCCTCTCCGGTATCAACAATCGGGTTGTCCTTGCGTGCCCTTATCCTCGCCTCCATATCGCCCTGCCGCTGAGCCTCATGGTCTGTAAGGATGGCCATGGTCTGACTTTTCTAGTCTGTGAAGGGATTATTATACCTTAAGACACCATGCCAGCAAGCTATAGTCTCGAGGAGATCCTAGTCTCGGGTAACATTCCCCGGCAGAAGCTGTCAGGACGAGATGACCTTGGCCGCCCCTCTTGGGATATTTTCCATTACCCGTGTTATCACTCTTTTTCCAATCCCTTTTTCTCGCGATCCTCTCCATGACCACTAATTTTCTTATCAAGCAAGTCAGGGTCCCAGTCGCCAGCCAGCCCCGGGCTGAGGTTCCAGCCAACCGGATCTCAATCCTCGCTAGCTCCTTCGAGATATTGCTCGTGGCTGATAATATGTGAGGCACCAACGAGGATGCAACTTGACAAAAAGCTAGAATGGGCTCGAGAATGGGCCAAGCGCTGCCTCAGAGAGACATTCCACACGTCTTCTACCGAGGTAAGCGTCACTGGTGTCTTTTCGCATGGAACAAAGGAAAGCTTCTTCCACGCCTCTTCAGGGGTTGCTTTTATCTCTTCTTTAATTTTTTTAAAAAATTAGCTTCTTCCTTTTTCCTATCCTATACCTAGCCCAACAGATGCCGGGTTCACAACCACTAAGCTGGCGTCGCAGCAAACAGCTCGGCGGCACTTTGTAGTCTTGCAGCTTCCGGCACGGCAGATCAACGTGACTGGAGCCCTTCCCTGGAAACTTGCACAGAAGTCGGGGTCTAGTAATCGCCCAAGAGCGAAAAAGATCTTTCCGTCAGCGCAACTCACCGGTTAAAAGGGCCCCATTTCTTTCGAACTCGAGCATATTTTGGCACAGGGTTTCGAGACATAGGAGCCAGCTTGATACTGAAGCCCGCAAGCTGAGGTAGGCATGACCGAGCCAGCGTCCGTCCTTTATCTCTAGCTTCGCAGGCCTGACGGATGAGGGGACGCTCACGAGCGGTGGTGACGAGGTCCCATTTCCGGCTGTAAATGGTAGACAAGAGTGAGTGGACAACCTTAGCTAGCCCGGTTGGAAAAATGTCTCCCAACTTCCTTCAAAAGTACGAGTTCACTAGCGTGTCCGATCTGTCTCTTGCTGCTGCAATGGTGCGGCTGGACTTGCTGTCACGGCTCGAGGCATCACCATCCCATCCCCGTGGCTTGCTTTGCTGTTGATGCCACCCCCGCCGTGTCATATGCGGGCAGAGAGCGGCATGTTGAAGTGAAGGGATGCAAATCAGATAACCGTGTCTTTTCAGCTCGACACCTTTGCATCGATTCCTCTCTGTTGATGGAAAAAGGTGTCGTGTGTTTGCGCCCCGTCACCATGACATGACCTTCCGTAAGTAGGCTGCCAGGTAATAGTTACCGCATTTTTTCTAGATTGCTCTACCTATTCCTTTCCTTACCTTCTTTTGGGGCCCATTCATATCTTACGACTTGGTACCGTTTCTCATAGTCTTCCCCAATCAACAGGGAAGGGTGCTTGCACCTACGTGCTAGCTTATGATTCGGGAATGGAGCTATTCGGGGCCCGAGGCAAAAGTAAGGCCTATTTTGCAGGGCTCACTTAGCTTTCTAGCCCTTGCAGCACGAGGGGTGCCTTACCTGGCCATGGCAAGGTATCTAGAACGCCGTTTGCGAGAAAACGTAAAGATAAAAGGTATATAAGCATATATATTTCGATTTCGATGTGTAGATTTAAACCAACTTGATGTACCACAAGTCGTCAACGCATAAACGTCGTCACTTTTTCCACCCTCCTTCCAATAGAAACATCTCGTCGCGTCAAGGAGGCCGCTGTGTAATGTTGCACGCCTCGGTGCCGTACACGTACACCCCAAAAGAAAACAGTCTCTACCCCTCTTACAACCTAAATACCTCTTCTCTCATGATCGTGGTTGTCTCCTGGTGTTTGGAAGCACGGAGCGTCCCTTTTACCACGTGATTAGGCTAACTGTCCGTTACAGCGATACCGGCCTTGATTATATCCACAACTGACGTTCAGATATCCAGTCTCTGCATCCGTCTTAGAGGTTGATTGACCCATATAATTGGGGCTCCGTCGTATGTCGGAGGATACTTTTCTTTTCTTAGAGCTTGGCGGCAGCCTGGGCAGCTCCGACCGCCGTGATCTCGTCATAGAGGAGACTGGGTTGTGTGTTAGCCAATTCCGGGGCGGTCGTGCTTAAGAGTTTTTAAGCTACAGGGTGTACTTACGTAGTGAGGAAGTCGGCATAGTCCTCTCCCGTGATCTGACCAGCGAAGTACTGGGCCGCGAGACGGAACTTGTTGCCCTTGGGGCCCTTGGCAGCGAGGTCATCAGCGCATTCGGAGAGAAGCTTGAGGGCGTACGCCTTGTCGACCTTCTTGCCCTCGGCCGTGGTGACGCCGTGACGGACCCATTGCCAGAGCTGGCTGCGGGAGACTTCGGCAGTGGCAGCATCCTCCTGCAAAAGAAACGAATCGCCGTTGGTTAGTCATATTCTGTGCTAGTGAGGCAAGGATGCCGGGTAGACTAATCGGCACCCTAGCAGGTGAGGCGAGGAGGCGGAGGTGAAAGGGGACGTGTAAACTTACATGAGGAAGTTGATGGGCACGCAACCAACACCACGGACCCAGGCCTCCATGTAGCCGAGACCAATGTTGAGGTTCTTGCGGATACCCTCTTCCGTAATCTTTCCGGGGACGTTCATGTTGAGGAGATCATTGGCAGAGACTTGGACTTCCTCGCGGCGGACGAAGAGCTGGTTAGGAGTGGGCATGTGCTTGTTGAAGATTTCGCTAGCGATGCTGGCAAGAGCAGGGTGAGCAACCCAGGTTCTAAGGTAAAAGTTAGTCCACTCTCTGTTATTTTTGGGTTTTGGGCAGCCTATTCTGTCCTGCTTGGCGTGGCAACCTACCCGTCATGTCCGGCACGGACTTCGCGGAGCTTGTCAGCGCGGACACCCTCCATCGCCTTGTCATTGGCAGCCTTGTCGTCCTTGATAGGAATCTGAGCGGCCATGCCACCCATGGCATGGACACCGCGCTTATGGCAGGTCTGGATAAGAAGCTTGACCTGTACCAAGGGTTTAGTATGAGTTCCCCCAAATAAAGGGCCCACTGGGGGTGATTGTCAACGTACGTAGGCATCCATGAAAGGAACGGTCATGGTAACGGAAGCACGGTCGGGGAGGACAAAGTTGGAGTTCTGCCTGAACTTCTTGATGACGCTGAAGATGTAATCCCAACGGCCGCAGTTGAGGCCAGAGGAGTGATCCCTGAGCTCGTAGATGATCTCCTCCATCTCAAAGGCAGCAGAGATCGTCTCGATAAGGACGGTGGCACGGACGGTGCCGCGGCGCATGCCGATGAAGTCCTGGGCCAAGTTGATGGCGTCGTTCCACAGACGGGCCTCGAGGTGAGACTCCATCTTGGGGAGATAGAAGTAAGGACCAAAGCCCCTCTTGACGGTCTCGAAAGCGTTATGATAGAAGTAGAGACCAAAGTCGAAGAGCGAGGCGGACATGGGCTCGCCATCGACGGTGACGTGCTTCTCCTCGAGATGCCATCCACGGGGGCGGACGATGAGGGTGGGAAGAGTGCGGTCGGTGCGGAGCTTATACTCCTTGGGGCCTTGCTTGAAATCAACCTGGCGACGGTTGGCATCGTAGAGGTTGACCTGGCCATTCAGCATGTTCTCCCAGGTAGGGGCGCTAGAATCTGCAGCGAATTTGTTAGTTCCAACCTCCAACTTGCGTCTTTCCACCCTCGCTGGCGCTCGCCCGTCTTTGGCAGACCCAGCTAGCCCCTTTATCCTCCCGCCAAGTGAAAAAAAAAAAAAAAAGGATTCATCATCCGAGATACGTACCCTCCAAATCAGCCATGTACGTCCAGACATTGGAGTTCAAGGCGTTGATAACCATCTTCCTGTCGGTGGGACCAGTGATCTCGACTCGGCGGTCGATGAGACCAGGCGCGGGGGAGCCGCCTTCCAGGAGGGTCATCGCGGATGTGCTTAGTCTCGGGGAGGAAGTCGAGAAGGGCGCCCCTATCGAGTTCGGCCTGGCGAATCTTACGGCGTTCGAGGAGCTGCTTGCGGCGGCCGTTGAAAGAGCGCTGGAGAAGGGCAAGGAAGGCAAGAGCCTGGGGAGTGAGAATGGCCTTTTGGTGGGGCTGGACGTCGCCGAGGACGTTGACGCCCTGGAGGATAGACTCGGTAGAGGCCATTGTGGTGATTGTTTTGCGAGAAGAACGGGGAAGGGAGGCGAAGGGTATCACGAAAGAAATCTTGCGTGGACGCAAGCGTGTGTATCTCTTAGCTTATCGTCGGATAAGAAAAAGATGTCGTGTTCTGGGTTCCTTTATTTTCTCTCTGTTTCTGCTTACAAGGGAAGAACGGAATGAAGAGAAAGGGGAAAGAAAAGGTGAAACTCAAAGAGAAGTACGAAGAGGGAGTGATCAGGAAATGGTGGAGAACATGTAGTCAGAAGCAAGCTCCAGATTTGGTTGGAGATAAAAGAGATAGCGAGGTATCGCACTGTTAATATGACTTCAGAAAAAGATAGCGGGGCAGTAGTTTCCTCGTGGGGATCCAGTCCAAGTCGACGGCTACGCTAATAAAGAGTCATAGCCAGATACATGGCTCTCTTCATTGAGTTTAAGCTCGGCTTGTTCCCTGGTCCGAGACTCGTCACAACTCTGCGATCAGAAGTCTTGCCTCTCCACCCTCCTTCCCTTGGCCGCGACTCTCGAAAAGGTAACTCGAATTTCCTCGGCGCCGTGGCCGAGGGTGTCATTGAGGGAAGCTACTTTGGTCCGATACAGGCCTAGCTCTTATCCGAGTTGGGAGCGGGCGTGGGCAAGGAGAAGGAGATAAAAAGAAAAAAAGAAAGAAAGGAAGAAAAAGAAAAGGCAAGCTTCTTATTGGCTAGATCTCTTCGGCAATGTATTCCCACGGGCGACTACTGGCGCGCAGGCTGATAGGTACCGGGTTGTAAGTGGGTTCCTAGGCGTGAGTTCGGGCAGGTTCACGTCTATGTAGGAGGTAGGGGAAAAGAAGGACGGGAACAGAGAAGTTGAGTAAAAAGAAAAAAAAAAAAAAAGAGAAAGAGAAAAAAGAAAGAAAGAAAGAGCTACTGTTCGGCCATGACTCTTTCCCTACTTGCAGCTAGAGAAAGGCAGGAGCGGGCTGCGGAGCTGAGCACATGGTGGGAGAGTTAGTGACTTTCGAAATACGACGGGGCGGCTTTTTGCAGAGCTAGGCCCTCGAACGTCTGGAGTCATTCGGTACAGGTACGGAGATAGTCGGATTAGACGAGAAAGGGACGGTCGCTCCAGTCGTCTTGTCTATCCAGGTTTCTACATCGTCACACCATGGAGGGGACCCAAAAGGTAGGAGTTTGCGACTGAAGTAGACCGGTTGTCAAAAATCCGGGGTCAGACCGTGGGAAAGGATGGCGGGGTGCCAGCACTGACCAGTGGCCAAGCCCGAGCATGGATGCTGTCTTCAAGTTCCTGGAAGTCGCAACCAGGAGTGTTTTGGCCTAGTCACAGGCCTGCTTGGACTAGTTGGTGATAGCTCTCTCCCAAATCAGACCAGGTCCTGTTTCTTTTCTTTTTCCATTGACTTTTCTTCGTCTTCATTTTCCCCCTAGCTTGCAGTTGATGTATGAAGAAATAGATGATACAGTCTAGTATAGTAGAGGTTCTCCTCCTCCCCCAAGAGAGAGAAAAAAAAAAAAAGGAAGAGGAACAAAAGGCATCAAAACACAGGCAGTGAAGATGGAGCCAGGGTACGTACACCGACAATCTTTGACTCGGCGCTCCTGACATGTGGAAGCCGCCGCCCTGCATCATGTACCTTGTACCTGTCCAATTCAAGCACACTTGCGCAACGCCGCCTTGCCTCGGGGAGTTCGCCGGGATCCCCACGAGCAGGCCCGACCGGCGCATGCCGGTTGTGAGCGGAGGAAAGCGCGAAAGTGCGCTTCGATAGCAATAGCTTGACGTGAATGACCAGCAAACATTGAGGCCACAACAAGAGAGACACGTCTCAAAGGCCTTGGGAGACGACGCCGACCATGGGCCTTGTGACCACGAGGACGTAAAAGGGCGGCCAATTATGCCGGGGAAAAATGGGGGTGGAAAGGGAACTTGAAGGGAAGGGGGCATCAAAAAGAGGCCCCAGAAAAAAGAGGAAGGAGGAACAATCAACTTGCGAAGGCGGCAAAACCACACCACAAGTCGCTGACCATCCACACTACCGTCGCCGCCATCACTATCCCCGATCTTCAATGTTCCTTTTCTCCGCTCCCTCCTCGCCGCCTGCTTTCGTTCTGAATGCCCCGCGACAACGAACCCCTTCAATCCGCCCGCCATTCTCCAAGTACTCGTCATTCCGCCGGCCCGAAACCGGTCCGGTAACTTCCTGGCGCTGACACGTCCCCTAGGCCTTGCGTTGCGGAGGAGGGATAGGTTTCTTCCCCAGGCCCGACCGATTAATGGATCAACCAATTCATTGACGCAGGGATTCCCTCTTGCCCCCTTCAGCTCAGGCCGATTTGCACATGCAACGAGGCACGCACAAGTCATATGCAGCATCAAACACCAGAAGACGATACATAACAACCAGTAAAAGGAGAATGCCCGCAATCGGAATCGGCGACGTACAACTGATATGCCGTGATACCCTATGGCTCCTCCGTAAATATAATTTGTCCTCTCCATTCTAGCACCTGGTCCTCCCGTTCAAGCATCCTGCGTGCACCTTTCTCTCAGGCACGAGTCTCTGGGTGGGGAACTAGGGATGCACATTCAATTCTCGTGCGAAGTAGATATACATACCTACGATCCCTCCTGTCGAGGAATCGCTGTTTTGTCACCTGTTTCCCAAGTTTATTCTATGGGGTAATCGATTCATATTAGATCCGATCCCCGAGAGAGACCGTTGTGGCCCCTCCAGAACCCCGGCCGAGCTTCAACCTCGGCTTGACGGCGACGTCACAGGGAGAAAAAAAAACCAAAAAAGTAGTCCTAGTCAAGCCACCGACCAACCACAACGCGGTTTTTAGAGACTGAAGCGGGAAAAAAAAAGAAAAAGGAAAAAGAAAGAAAAAAAGAAAATTAAACTGGAAATTATCGCTAAGAAAAACAAAGGAACAATATGTATTACAAGTCTAATAATGGATTGGCAGGAAAGCGCGCTGCCCCAAGCTTACCCCAGAATGCCGTGAAAGGCTAGAACTATCATCTAGCACAGGGCCCTGAAAGCTCGTACATATCGGCTGAGCCGGTATTTTCCGGCTTGAGCGTTGGCTTCCCTACGATGGCGTCATAAGCCTAGGCACAATGTGTCTACGAGACGTGCACCGAGGCTCATCATCCAAGCAGGAGACCGACCCGCGAACATCATGATGTGACTCTCATTCTTCAAATTGCACTGGGAACACCTCTCCTCTCGGCCGATATGCACTTCACTTGGACAGGGCTAACGAAGGACACAAAACAAGACACGCAAACCAGTTCATAAACAGTCAACAAAAGCCCTACCTGTAGGAGCTGAATCAGGCTTCACCTTGCTGGGTGTGATCTAGAAACCCCATTTTTATCCGTCTTTTCTCTCTTCCATTGTCTTTTGACATTGAGCTACAACTTGTGTCGACTGTGACATGTGCACTAATACGCTCCCACCTGTCGTTGGGAAACAGCACTTCCTTTCCCCCTTGGAGAACAAGACAGCAATCAAAGGTCTAGCCTACGCCTACAATCTCACTCCAACTAAAGACGTCGTTTCAAAAATATCATACATTGGTTTGGGTTGGCGGTTCCCTGCCTCATTACTTAGTCCCTTTGTATTATTGCTAGAAATCGAAGGGTAACTGGTTCGTAGTAATTCCATACCTCGCGTTTCACACCTCCGGCGCCTGCCAGGTATCTCGGCTCATTTTACCGAGGCTTAGCAGGCCTCCATGGTACACATTCATCCTGAGGTACCTCACCGTCATCTTTGGCTGTAGCATCACAGCTTTAGTCCAGTGACAAACCCCTTTACCATCACGTATTATTTTCAAACCCCAAGGCTCAATCAGGAGTTGAGCGTTTTAATCATCCGCTTCGCCGTTCGTTTGTCGGTCAGAATTAATTTTCGGTCCGCAAAAACGCCGTGAATTGTTCGAACAACTTCTCGCAGGCTGCTTGCGGCCCCCGCTCTTGCGTGAATCGTACAATGCACAAGGGAGTGGGATTTCCATGTTCCCATGCCTTGATAAACTCAATCGCAAACGAAACTTCCTTCAGCCGGAGATCTTATCGGCCGCCTTCGTGTCAGCAACTTGGATAACTATAGTTATCATGGGGCCCGCTGGGATGGTGGCCCGGGTCCTGACTTACAATTTTGGCGGCCAACACGGGCAAACATCATGTGTCGCTCCGCGTCAACTTTTAGATCCTCAATGCCATACTTCTGCCATTCCTGGAAAATGGTCATCGTCTCCTTTCGTGCCTTTTTGTGCGACATAGTTAGGCAGATGTGGTCCACTACCGGCTTGACCCGGAAGAGGCGGGCGAGCCATTTGCTTTGCGGCTCAGCATGCCGCCGCCCTGCGAGCTCGCTCTCCCGTGGGCGTTTTTCCACCAGCTCGTAATGGCCATACTCGGCAGCCTCTCCCTTCGCCTTGACAAGCGGCTCTAAGTCATCGTAGTCGGACCCTAAAAACCCCGCATGCTTCGTTAGTCACTGTGCTATGAAGCCAAGCAGCTCCTGGCATCGCGTTTTTTTATTGTTGGCAACATTACCTCCTACAGTCACCTTTGGTTCATTCTTGGGCTTGAACTGTTTCCAGAATCTCAAGTCAAATCTCTTCTTCTTCATTCCCCGGCTTGCCAGAGGCTGAAAATCTTCAGAGCTGACATCGCGCCGTGGAGATTTGCCTCTCAGGGCCCCGGCCCCCCTCGAGTATCATATGTAACGGATTCTGATCGCCTAGCCGAGGAGGAGTTGCGGTAGTATGGGTGGTTTTTATGAAAGTTCTCTAGCCATCCATCCAGCTCAGAGTCCCCGAAGAGCTCTTTGCTAAAGTGAGCTGAGTAGGAGCTCTTTGATAGGCCTCCGGCGGTCCAATTGTGTGAATCGTGGGAATATAAATCCGGGCTCGTTAGGCTTGCAGGTGTGTTCAGTCTACGGCCCACTGAGCGGTCCATCTGAAGTCCGCTGCTATGCTTGGAGTCTCTTCGGAAAGGATTGGTCTTGGGCGTGGGTATGACGACCCGAATAGTCCTTTCGACGCGTGAGAGGTAATCGAGACCCTTTCCCTCGGACGTGTCGCGGGGTGTTACCCCGGCTCTGCAACGTCGTCCGCGTAATGTGTTAACTGTATCGCGCTGCTATAGCGCTTCTCATTTGCACTCTGCAATCTTGAGCGACGCACCTGCGGGTCGGAACTGATGCGTCGGTTTCTAGGGTCGCTAAGGGTAGGCATAGATCGTCGGGTTCTTGGTATCACGGTCCTCGCCTGCCCGCCAAATTCCTCCGCCCTTCCAGGAACTGCGTTTGACTTGCCCCTGGTACTTTGCGAGTTAGGGAAGCGATGGGCGACTCTTCAAACACAGATGGTAGGTCTGGGAGCGGGCGGTAGCTCCACTGAGGCTCGTCCGTGCCCGATGAGTCTGTGTCTACAGGAAAACTTGCGCTTTCCGGGGTCCTCAGAACCGGGGCTGACGCATCACAATCTTTACCGTCGCCGCCATCATGAGGTGTCTCAAGGACCAAAGAGCTTCCAAATGCTTCATCACAATCCTGGGCAAGACCAAGACTGACCTTCCGGACCTCTTCGTCGGTGATCGCTTCTCGTGCAGCCGCGACTCCTGCGGATCGCCTTTTGGCAACTCGCAGGGTAGGACCGTCGCCTGCAGGCAGGACGTCAGAATCAGGACGCGGAGTCCCAGGGTTATCAGTGTACAGGGATCTTCGTCTCGAAGATTGACTGTCAGAGTCTCTTTTCTTCTGGGAATGCCGAGCTCGGAGCTGAGAGAAGTCTACCCCCGCTTACGCCGAATTCCAACCTTGCGCATGTACGGTGATTTCTGGGGGCTGCTTGATGTCGCAAAGCTATCATTGACGTCGTCGAAGATTGGAAGGTTCCCAAGCAGAGACTCTTGAAAAGAGTCTGGAGAGCTGGATCGTGTTGAAGGGCAGCGAGGGCTTGAGATAAAGGACAAATAGCGATTATCCTTCTCCTTTGGTGTGCTAGTTTGGGAGCGATGAACTGTGACCCGAGCACGGCTGATTTGTGAAACCCGCCTCTCGATGGGGGTATGCTGAGCATTGAAGGGATCATACGTATCGATGGAGTCCTCATCTATGTCAGCAACACTGGACACGATGGTAATCCTAGAAACGCTTTTGTTGATACCATCCCCGTCGTCGTTGGTGAACTCGCGGGTGACCTTCTTCTTTCTCCATGTTGAGGGTTTTAAGTGATGGTAGTCACTCTGAGCATGGGCGATATCCGGATCAAAATCTTCTAGCTGGCGCTCTCGATACTTTTGAAGCAGGTGGTAAAAGACCTTTTGATCGTTTGCCCTAGCCTTCTTGTTAGCTTTGATAAACACATCTAGGTGAGCCCGCAAGCTTGCGCGCGAAACAAACGACATGGGGGAAACTTACTCGTCACTTGCCAAAGAGACCTTCAGCTCCTCCTCGGTGAAGGTGTGCCAGAGAGCGCGCAGCTGGCGAACGAGCTCAAGATCAATCTCACTTGGTCTGACGGCCTTGGATTCAAGTATTTTCCGAGTATCAGAGAGCTGACCGTACTCCTCACTTAGATCACCTTTTAACGCGTGCTTTGTAATAAAGGGTTGTCTCCACATTGATTGCATCGTGATACGCTTGCCCGGATTGTTTTGCAGAATTCGGCAAATCAAGTCTGCTGCATCAGGACTCAGTGAACTCGGAAGAAAATAGGATCCGATCCTGACTTTTCAATGACGACAGCCGTATCTTCGTCTGAAAAAGGCAACTGCCCAGTTAGCACGGCATACAGGATGACACCCATGCTCCAAATGTCGGATTGATATCCGCTATACGGCTTCCTGAGAGCACCTCGGGAGCAATATAGTGAGGGCTCCCGCAACACGTGGAAAGTCGGTGGCTCGTGGTCTGGTGCAGCGCCGCCATCCTAAAGTCGGCAATCTTGATCTGACCCTCGGAGCTCACGAGAATGTTTTCCGGCTTGAGGTCCCGGTGACAAATCTTTAGGGCATGGCAATACGAGACTGCGCTCATAAGCTGACGGAAGAGGCGCGCGGCATTAACTTCGGAAAGGGGCCCATTTGTCGTGATGTATTGATACAAATCGCCGTAATCAACATACTCTAAGACAATATAACTATACGATTAAACTTGTTAATGTCCGTGGCGCGTTTCTAAATATGGACGAAGAGGAGCTTACATTTGACGTCGATTCTCCCAGATATCGTAGAGTCGCGTGATGTTAGGATGCTGTATAAGCTTCAGGATGGCGACTTCCCGCTCAATGGAGACGGGAATACGTCTTTCCTTGCTAATATCTTCGGGCAAATATTTATCTTGGTTGTCAATGTTGGTGATGCTAGCGGCTTGCACGAGCTTGGCAGAGTCTTTGCAAAGTATCTTCACAGCTGCGATTTGTCGAGTGACGCGGTGACGGCAAAGCCGAACAGACCCGGTCGCACCCTCCCTAGCTCGTCACCAAGGACCCAAGGGCCAACGCGTGTCTTTGTTTCCTCGACACTATCAACTGGCAAGGTCTCTCTTCGCTCTAGGAGGCTGGCGGGGCGGAGGCGTTGTTTTGCGTGGTGAAAGATTCTACCTCGCCTGCCAGACTTGGGAGGAGAACAATCAGGCACGCCGTCCTCAACATGGCGACCCGTTTCGGTCTCTTGAGCCGAGTCCTGGGTGCAATTCTCAAGCTGGTGTTCGTCGATAGTTTCAAGACGCTCGGAAACCCTCCTCCCTCCACGGGCACTTTGGTCCTTACGAAGGTGCCGGGTAGGGGCCGGCTAAGTCGCTGACTCCCATCGGGAAGAGTTTGGCGGGCCAATAAATCCTCCCAATCAAGGTACTGATCGGTTGCCATGAGTAGGTGCAAGTGGTCGTAGCAGTCATGAAGATTAGAGCCCCAACAGACCTCAGGAGATAGGTGATAGGAGGCAGAAGAATACGGACGAAAAAGGTACGCCTCGAGAGATTGCCGAGCGCACTTTAGTCAAGTTTGGCGTTTGGCTAGCTGGAAATTCTGGTCCCGTATCCTAAAAGATACTAATGGATATCTCGAGCTTGCCGGCGGGATAAGACTTGGTTGATCTCAGTGTGTGTGAGGGTAAAAAGATCGGCGTGTGGGTAGAAGAGAGAATTGAAAAAGCGTAGAAAAATGCGTCGAAATGCGTCGAAAGGCGGCGAAAGACGGTTTTAGAAGGGTCGGAGAGGGACAGAGAGGGACAGAGGGGGACAGAGAGCATGTGGATGTGTGAGAAAGAGAAAAGGAGGAAGGGAGAGAGGGGTGGGGGACGTGTTCGAGGTAAAGAGTCAAAGCTGTGTGTAAGGCGGGTGAGAACAAATAGTGAGGCGCAGAAGAGGCTGAAGAGCTCTTTCCCTCACATATTTCCGTGTAGATGCAGATCTAGAGACCGCGCTTTCTCAACTTGGCCTCGAAGAAGGTGGCGCGCAGGGGCAAGGTACTTTCTGCTCCGAAGCCGATCGCTTGGGGAAATGCATTGCGTAGAAGCCACTATCATTTTCTTGGCCTAGAGATATATTGGCCTAAGCAGAAATGTCCTCCATATATCGTAATCAAAATGACTTTGAGTAGTGCTAGTTTCTTCTCAGGGCCACTCTTCGATGCTCCTCCATGCTGAGCAAGGTTAGATGGTCTCGCTGACAGAAGGGGTAGACAAGACATCGATCAGAGACGGCCGTTATCCAACGAATTTTCCGAAGCTAGGCCGCTACGATCATCCCCCTTTCTAGCTTAGATATGCGGTGAGTGGCTGAGGCCCCAAGAAACCAACACATTGTCTAGCACTATGGTAAGACTTGGTTAAGAGGGCCGTCCACAGGAGGAGCTCTCACCTTGAGGCCTCAACCAGACCCCAATAAAATAAGGCAAAGAGTAATTGCATTCCCCAATACAGTACGCTGGAGTTTCAATTTGAATATATGTTGCACTGGATGTGGGCGCTGAGTCTATGAAGTAGGATGTTTCGCGAGGAGAGGCACACCAGCGAGAGTACTGATGTGATGAAGGTCAGGACCCCACACACGATATTCGCGCTCTAAGAAAGTACGAGTAGAAAATTGATGAGGACCATCAAGCCACTGATTTGCCCGCGGGGCTAGAATTTTTATTTCCCAGCCTCTTGAAGCTGCGTCGCTGTCTTAAAGGCGACGATGCATACCTGAGTCGAGTTTGCGTGTCTCATTGCTGGACAAGGGGTGAGGTTGGGGCGCGTCGTTGCAGATGACTAATCGACATGACCGTTCAATAACGCTACCTCGAGTGGCACAGTGGGGCTAAATGACTGTGGCAGCCAGCGCTAGGCAGGCAGGAAGGAGAGAACAGCCTCGACCCCACCACAAATTCCGGAATTGGATTCAGGCCCTAGTGGGCTTGTCGCGTCACAGAAACGGTGGAAAACGCCAGGACCGCGTCCACCCTCCTCCAGCTTGTTCGATTCTAGATTGCCCTCTACGAAGTGCCCGCGCAACAGCGCTTGCTCAGCATAGATACGAATCTCCTAGAACCCACTTCTGGTATCTATTGTGAACGCGCCCTCTGATCCGAACCGCCCCGAATGTCTCGCGTTTCTCGGGGCAAGCGTCCTGCCGCTCCCTCCGCCCCCTCGGAAGAGGATGAGACGGAGACAGGTTCCCCGCCTACGGCCAGCGACTACGACACCGAATCCTCGATCCGAGCGCGGCCTCGTCCGCGAACGAGTTTACATAGCAACGGAGTCAAGACGGAACCCGCCGCCCTTCCTAACCCGAGTTCGACGGTCGCGAACGGCACGTCGGGGGCCGGACATGATGACAAGTTTAAGCCTGGGTCTGTTGTGCGAGTCTTGGTGAATGACTTTTGTGCATATACAAAGGCAGAGTTTTTCCCTGGACCATATCTTAATATGGTGATCGGCCTAACGGCACCGGCAAGAGTACTCTCGTCAATGCAATATGCCTCGGTCTTGGATACTCTCCAAAGCTCCTCAACCGGGCCGATGTGGTCAGCGAATTTGTCAAGCACGGGAAATCCACGGCCTACGTCGAGATAGAATTGAAAAACTTCCGCGCGACAAGAAAAACTACGTGATCCGACTACGGATTCGGCGCGAGAACAATGCCCAAAAATTTTGGCTAGACGGGAGGGAGGTCCCGCAAAAGAAGATCCAAACCCTTGTGCGGAACCTCAATATCCAAGTTGACAACCTTTGCCAGTTTCTTCCACAGGACCGGGTAGCGGCCTTTGCTGGTCTCGGAGAAGTGCAGCTGCTGGACGAAATGCTACGAGCGGCCGCCCCTCCCAAGGTTATACAATGGCACCAGCGTCTCAAAGAACTCTACAAGGACCAAGCTGAAGTCCAGAAGCAAGTTAGGGCGGACAGTGAAAGGCTGGACGGCCTACACAACTCCCAGCGCAACATGCAGGCCGACGTGGACAGGGTCAAGGATCGCGAGGCTGCCCAGCAAAGGCTACAGCTCCTTCAAGCAGCTCTCACCGCCGCTCAATATACAGAGGCCGCCCAGAAGTTCCGTCAAGCGAAAGAGGACAAGCAACGATCGGCGGCTAGGGTAAAGGAGCTCGAAGAAGAAAACGAACCATCGCTCAAAGCCGTAACCGACCGCCAAAGGTACCAAAACAATGTTGCCGCCGCCGTTGAATCGCGGAAAACCGCCCTTCACCGAGCCGAACGGACAGCCGATGAGCTTTTAGTTGACGTGCGCCAGGCTGAGGAAGAGGTCACAAGGCACGAGGCCGCCATCACCGCACAAGTTGAAACTCACAAAAAAGAAGGCTGTCGTTGGCGAGATCCGTCGCAAAATCAACCAGCTTGAGGCCCAAATGAAGAACGAGCCGCCCAAGTTTGATTCTTCGGAATGGAACCTGAAAATTGTAAGTATAGCCCTCCCCTACCCGGCTTTCCCTTCTTTCTCTCTTTCCTCTTTCCTCTTTCCTTTTTCCTTTTTCTTGTCCCCTCTTCCCAGTGCGCCTTAATTAGGCTTACTTACTCATTTCTCATATAGCGAGAGCAAGAACACATCGCAAGAGATATGCAAGTGCAAATGAATGACTTTAACGTTAAGCTTGACAACATTAAAAGGGAGATGGGTGAGAAGAAAGTCCAGAATGAGAGGTTGAAGCAGCAAATTGAAGCTCTCGGCACCCGGCAAGGAAAGCAACTCTCCGCGCTGAGAAGTCTGGACGCGGATGCGGCCAAAGCATACGAGTGGCTACAGCAGAATAAGGACAAGTTTGAGAAGGAGGTGTTTGGCCCCCGATCCTAACGTGTTCGGTCAAGGATGACAAGTACTCCGACCAGATTCAAAGCCTCCTTCAGAAACGAGATCTTGTATGCTTCACCGCACAGACAAAGTCGGACCAGGCCAAGCTCAGCCACCACTTCATCAAAGAGATGGGCCTCTCAGTTTCCCTCCGCTTGTTCCGGGGATCCATGGATGAGTTTCGGCCGTCGGTGAAAGCCAGCGATCTGGGTTTCGACGGGTTCGCCGTTGATTATCTCGAAGGGCCCTCACTTCTACTCGCTCAGTTTTGCTCAACGAGCCAGCTACACAGAGCAGGCATCTCTTTAAAGGAGCTCAGTGATGAGCAATACCAGCGACTTGATGCACAGGATTACGTTAATTCATGGACAGCGGGGAGACTTCATTACAAACGGACGCACCGAAAGGAATACGGAGACGCAGGGAAGTCAACAGTGACCAAAGACATCAGGCCCGCGGCATTCTGGAAAGACCAGCCCGTAGACTCTGGTGAAACAGAAGAGCTTCGGCTTCGGCAGAGCGAGCTTCGACAACAATTTTCCGAACTAACCGACCAGAGGGAGCAATTGAAGGAAAAGATTGACGGCATTTTCCAAGAACTTGAGGGAGCCCGGACAAAACTGGTAAGAAGCAGCTCCCTCCCGCTACGCCTGGGCGGCCTTGCACGCTATTTGGATATAGCTAACTTGTCCTTCCCAGGAACAACTGAAAGAGGAGAAGGGCGGACTTCAAGCGCAGTACACCAGGTGGAAGGGCATACCGCTCAAGATTGGTGAGAAGGATAACCTCCTCTTCCTGTGACCTAGTTGAGGTGCAAAAGGCGCGAAGCTAACACCATCTTTCTCCCTAGAAACGGAACAAAAGAACCTTGAGCGTAGTTTGGCGGAGATGCGCGAGTCAAAAGCAGAGGCCAATCGCTTGATAGAAGCTCGCATTGATGCAGCGGCCGCGTTTCTCAAGCCGCGCTCAAGCACAGTAGGGGCATCGGAGCGGTTCGAGCAGCCCACAAGGACTGGGTCGACGCTTCAGTGTGCCTGATCGAGGCCAGGTCAGACGTTGCAGGCCTTCAAGAGAGGTCCCGAGCCATCATTGAACAGTGTGAGGCCGAGCGACAGAAGCTGGAAGCCGCGCAGGCAGTCGAGAGGGAGAGCAAGGCTGAGGCAAGGCGGCTCAAGGACGTCATTCTTCAGTTGCAGCAGCAATTCGGCGAAGAGTTCACACAGCTGACTGTAGGAAAGACGTCGAGCGATATCGAGGATGAAATCGCTGCGGAAGAAGAGAGGCTCGGCATGATCTCTGACGTGCCTCAGAACACGCTTCAAAAATACGATCAAATCGTAGCAGCTCTTGCCAACGTTGAAAAGCAACTAGAGGCCGGGCGCAGGAAGATTGACGTACTGGGCTCGGAGATTGGCGATTTACGGCACAGGTGGGAGCCTCATGTGGATGAGCTCGTGGACAAGGTCACGGAAGCTTTTGGATACAATTTCCAGCAGATAGGGTGTGCTGGGGAGGTTCGCCTTCACAAGGATGAAGACTTTGAGAAGTGGGCTCTGCACGTCATGGTCAGCTATAGGCACGTACTTGTCCCCCTGGACGATGTCCTCTCCGTCGTTTTCGTCTACCTCTTTCTTCTACAAAGTTTCTTGCCTTTACCCCTTGCCTTTCCTTTGCTATCTACCCCTGTCGATCCTTTCCGATAACTAGTCCTAACCGTTGAACGGGCGCATCCGCTAACACATTGGCGCAAAACCATAACTAGACCGCAAGAAGGACTCATCCGACTGACAGCCACACGACAATCTGGCGGCGAGCGCACCGTGGCCACGGCCTTCTTTCTGCTAGCGCTCCAGGGCAGCGCGCAGGCGCCGTTCCGGGTGGTGGACGAGATCAACCAGGGCATGGATCCGCGCAACGAGCGCATGGTGCACAACCGCATGGTGGAGATTGCGTGCCGAGAGCACAATAGCCAGTACTTTTAGTGACACCCAAGCTCTTGACGGGCCTCCGATACGACGAGGGCATGACGGTGCTGTGCGTTGCCAGTGGAACGCACATGCCGGAGGAGACGGAGAAGCTGCACCTCGCAGAGTGTCTCAAGCTCCAGAAGCAGATCCTAGCAACAGCTGCTGCGTAGTAGGCCGCAAGAGAATAGAAGCCGTCGACCTTTCCCCACTCCCCCCCCGGGAAACAAAGACCAAGAAGTTCAACAAGGTCAAGTGGGCGGATAAGGGGAGAACAACCTTATACTGTTAGAGGGGGTGCGTGCATACGCCAGCGGTGCATATGTGGAGAACATGTGTGTGCGCGCGTGCGTGGGTGCGCCCTGTCTGTCTACGGCCGGGAGATCTCCACTGAAGATGCCTCTGGAGGTTCGAATACTCTGTCCTTGTTGCTTTTTCACCTATCTATTTTTCCTCGCCCCCATTCTGATTGACGGCTGGGGATGGGTTATCGACAAACGTTAAGAAGAAGAAGAAGAAGAAGCTAGAGAAGAGGGGGTGTGGATATTTCGGAATGTTGACGAGATGATGAACTACTGGGTTTTTTCACATGCGGCGTTTAGGAGCTACGGAGCGGACGGTGGGCTAAGTCGTCAAATGCTTGGCCGCGGGGTGGTTGGGAAGGGAGAAAGGGGGCTTCTTTTTATTTGCATGTTGATCTGTCTGTATAGGCATCATGCCCCACAGCGTATAGTCCGTAATGATCTGAGCAAAAAGCGGCCAAATGCATTAAACATGACATTGAGAGGCGAAGGCGGCAGTTAGGGGGTGCGTGCAAGGAAAGGGTGGATGAGTGGGAAATAGTGACCATGAAACTCGGTACTAGGATCTCTACGTCAATCGAGTCATATTTGCTTGTGTGGTCCTTTGAAGCGTACCTCGGTATACTCTTAAAAGATAGAAACACGGAAGATCCTATTTCTACAAGTATCGTGGGGAAAGAAAGGGCCGCGGAGTCTTGTTGCGGCTTATACAAAGAAGCGCGAGGTGGAACCGAGACACTCTACGGAGAGTGTGAGGCCGGAGGTTTCTCGCCGGGCCAGCCCAAAAATAAAAATAAAAATAAAAGAGAAAAACTTGGGACGTCGGGTTTCACTCTACCGCTGTTCCACATGGTCTTGCCCCCGGCCTTGCGTGGGGAGCAACAGGACGGGGAAGCTCGAACGGAAGTGGGAGGGGAGGAGGCTGGATGATGGGTTGAAGCCGGCAAGAATCGAAGGATTCACAATTCATTCCCCTTCCTTGCCCTATGCAGGAGCTCCGGATGAGCTGGCTGGCCAACCCATGCGGCCACGGCAGTGGGGGTCACATTGAGCACTATCCATAGATGCTATTATACACAGCAGGGACGGCCTCGGCCGCAATCAACTCTCCGAGCTTTGTTTTCCTTGTTTCAAATGGCTCCGGAGACTGTGCCGTGATAGGGGTGGGCTTGCCTTTTGGTTTGTGCCGATGTATGTTGGTGTTGCTGCCGCTCGATCACAGACTTACATGTAGCTTTCTCGGTGCTTGTCACGGCCTCGCGGATTTTCTTTCCGACATTGAGGTCGAGGAAGGTCAAGGGGGCAGCTTAACGAGACGGGGAGGGTCGGCCTTTGCACAAGCACTGTCAAGGCCTGAGGGCTCAGAGGCGTGGCCCGTCATCCGGGCCGGAAATCACGAAATCAAGCATCAAGGCAGAAGAGCTGGTTCTCCGCCCTTCCGGGTCCGACTATCAGATCCATTGAGAAAGCTTCTTAGCAATGATGCTCTTACACATCAACAACTCAACTGTCTGCAAAGGTGATAGGCCTAGCGGGGCGGGACTCAAGTTTTGGGTTTCAAAGATGGCAATTTCAAAGAAACCGACGTCTTTTTCATTTGCGTGCCAATCTTGGCCTTGAACACAGGCTTGGCTACTCATTCGAAGGGACGGTGATCCACAATATTCTCCGCTGCAGGGAGGCATCCCCTTCTAGCCCACCTTCCATCTCGAACGCTTTCCTTTCCCTTGCCTTCCGTGCCGGGTCTTCTTCATCTCCCGGAGAGTTGTGTGACTTCACGATGACGCGCGACTCGTCTCAAGAGAAGAGAGGGTGAGGGGGCATATCGAAATGATAATGGTCCAGGCTTCGGTTAAACGATCAAGGAAACAAAATAAAGAAATGAAAAATAAAAAGCATGTCAACGGGACAGGCATGCAAGGGACAAGGCAAGGGGGTGGATCTCGCAGCTCGCTTCGCAGCAATCAGATGCATCGCTGCTCCAAAAGGTCAAAAGGCAAGAAAATAGAGAAGAAAAAAGTGGGAACCTGCCCCGATTATTTTTATTCCACTTTGGCAATCGCTCCTTCTTTTATCAAAGCTCACCAGACATTGATGATGCTACCCGAGTACTTGTAGACACCAACTTGATGCAACCGGGCGTGGGCCGCTCCTACCTTGCTGCGCGCCCGATTCCCGGCTGGTCCTTCTTTTCTTGCTTCTTCGAGCTTCCTTCATTTTAAGGAAAGATTCTGCCTCCTTTGACCTTTTCGTCCATGAGCAGAATCAATGGAACCTCCCGGTGCACCGACAAGGGTGCTCAAGTTGTGACAATCACCGGCGTGGCAGCGGCAACAGCAGCTGCAGCTGAGCTGCAGAGGTGCACACAGCTAATATTCGCGGCGGTAAAAGAATCTGCTCTTTCTTCCCAGTACATATGAGGGAAAGTATGAAGTAGTATGGTAAGAATACGGAGCACCAAGGCTCAACAACCATGAATGCTCTGCTTCTAAAGACGCAATCCGTCTTATCGAGCTTACCTTAAAGGTGGGTGTTCTCCGTGCTCCCAGCCAGAAAGCGGAGCGGAGGGTAGTATCGACTGAGGAGCCACGATGACGCATGTTGTCTCCCTCTCGCTTAGAGGCCCAAGCTCCAGGCATTTTGCTCCCATTGATCTGATTCTGATTCTACAAAGTATTACTTGTACTTCCTTGATAAGGATTGTTTATTGCTCCTTCGTCGGATTTGCCATCCGCCCCAACGTTGTTTGTTCCTCCCCACTCTGTCACTACCTCCTCCTCATCATGCTTACAAAGGGCTTTTTTGCCATGAGGATAGAGCTGGTAAAAGTAGTTCCACCCGCCTCCTCCTCCGCCTCCTTAAAGGAGAGAAATCCCACCCTTTTCGCTCCCATTTCCTCAAAATTCTCGATTGCGGCCGCGATCAGAGATCGACGGATCCCGGCTAGCAGCAAGGTAGGAGATTGGGCGGAGCACAGTGACGATCAATCGCAAACCACGGGTCGGTCGGGCTCATTAGCCCACCCCTCAAAACAAAAGGGTCGTAAGGCAAGGGTGGATCGGTGGAGAGGGAAGAATTTGATACGGTGAAGAATTGAATAGAAGCCAGCAGTCAAAAGAGATGCACTGCCCTTCATCAGACGGGTTCTCCTGTTCAACTCCCAAACCAAAACCCTTGCTCCTGGCATTTTTGGTCTTGGGGGATATGCCCTACACTACCGAGGTACAGGTTCGACCTGTACGAGTAAGATCATTACCTCAATACTGACGTAGAAATCTCAAAGTTCCCATTATGGAGTCCTTGACGCTATCTTTCACTCTCCGGGTCCGGGTTCGGGTCCTAGAGGGTGGAGGCAAAACAGGTGGGCGGGAGGTGTTGGCTGCTGAGGAAACCAACTGACATCTAGAATCGACTGACCAACCGGCACCTCATATGTGATATAGAGCATGAAGCTTGAACCCTAGTGGGCCGGTCGGATTTGAGACTGCGCACGGGAAGGGAGGCTTTGTCCTCGCTTCCGTAAGAACACCAGATAAACTCGGCAGAACTATATCATATCCTGATAATACGTGCGCGCCAAGGCCATGCCATATGGCGGGCGGGAAAGGATGGGAAAGCGGAGGGAAAGCTGGAGGCGGATGGGAGGGTATAATGCAGGCATCTTATCGGGACTTTCCAAGGCCAGGCCTCCCGTAATCTCAAGCAAATGATCCAATCCGCCCTTCCCTTTTGTATGGCCGGCAAGCTATTGCTAACCCATCCTTAATTCGGGTTGACAACGGCGCCGATCTCCCTGTCAGTGCTGACGGAAGAGGAAAGTCGATGCCTATTCTACGAGTATGGTCGGGCACTGTCAACAAGCTGTCCTTCCTTTGGCTGATCCTCCGGTTGATGAAAAGAGAGAGACCCAGTGCCCCGGCGTCATCAGAGTTACCCTCGCTGCACGTACTTTAGCTCACCTGTCGATTGGATAAGATTCTTTGCTGCCCTTTCGGATTAGGTCCGAGTCCAACCTGCGGCTTGGAAATCGAGCCGAACCAGAAAGAGAGAAAGACTGGGTGCACACGGCGACAACGATCCTCTGCAATCATTCAGGATCACCAGAAAACCGGCTTTCCAAAAGGCCAGCAGCATCGTGCATCCTTATGACAATGTTGCCAGAGCCTGTGTCTGCCGTCTTTCCTGCATCATCACCCGGCTTCCTTGATAATAAGAAGGAGGGGAAAAAGACGAAGAAAAAGGGAAGGCTGGCCATGCCTAACCCCCACCTCCAAAGAAGAACGAGTTGGTCCAGGAGAGGTAGGAACGCGCACGTGTTGAGAGAAAGCCAAGCCGTACGATGTGTGGATATGAAGCCAAAGGGTAATAGTGGGAGAGGTGGGAGAGGGACACAAAGTCTAGCATACATCAAACCCTGCCACCCAAATCTCGACAAGAGCCACAGAGGCTTTCAAGGGTCCGGCCTAGCACTGATTCCTCCACAGGGTGAGAGGTGCTATTGATCCATGGCAAGGCGCAGCGGTTGGTCAAGCAACAAGTTAGCTCACAGCTTCAGAGTCGAAACCCAAAAATAAACCTCAAACTGCCCCGAGCCGGAGCATTCTCTCCACGGAAGGGAAGGGAATGTTAGGACAGGGTTGAGCCAAAACGACCAATTGTGCGACAAAGGTCCGTGGGTGTATTTCGGGGGTCGTACCGAGGTATTATTTCTTGAACCAAACAATTTCCCCATACCACCCCATTGTTCGCCATATGAAGGACTCTAGCTATCGCAATCAAGGCTTTTGTCCCGGCCTATCTTTGCATGGATCCCTTACACTAGATGCCCCATCGCCTATTAAGGCCGCTCAGAGATTCTATTGGGAGATATC